AACCAGACCATTTAGGGTTGAGATTTTACAAGGTTTAAAAAACATATATTGTCAACAAATGTCATGAAATATTTAACAATGCATTAATCTTCTATATATTATGTTTATATGCTACTAATTCCTTTTACCAAATATATTTTGAGGGAAACGTAATTGTATGTTCAGCGGCAAGTGCTCCTGAACATTTTCCAGTAGCACTTGCTAGGTCCCATTGTGGGACCTAGCAAGTAGGTTCCACCTGTGGTTATCTTCATCCAACAAAAGCACTTTAGTTTAAAGAGCACTCCATTGATTTAGCATTGCTGGACAGTTTAATAAAGAAGGATCAAGACTGATGGAGCAGAACCAGAAATATTGTCTTTTTTATGACATTTAGTCTTCCTCTTTTGGGATATTCGGGACATTCAGTGTGTTATACATATTAGTGAATTTCTTTAATCTTCAAACTTGTAGTCTACAGACTCAACCAATGCTTGGCGCAAGCGACATCACTTGAGGCAGTTCAGTAGAGTTCACACAGCTCCCTCTGGAGCCACAAAAGGCTTTACTCTACAGCAGTAGCACCCTCCAAGATCTATAAACGGACTTTAATACATACAATTAGTAGAGTTGGCCTTTAACAATACGGACAGATAGTGATTTTGGTGAAATGTTAATACAGTCTTGTCTTGTGTCTTTCTTCATGTCACTTTTGTCTTTTTAAATACTCAACGAAGACCACACTCTTTGACCAATCATAACCGTGTTGTGAGTGCCTAAACATAACCATACAAAGCGATAATCATGTTTTATTTGGTATATTTGATATAATTTACTGGAAGAGCGGATATTGTTGGGGAAACAAATTGAATACGTTGAAACTATATACTGGTGACCTGATTTAAAAGATTGTCATCTTCAGGAGGAATTAATAAATGTAGAATAATGTCAGCCTCATTCTTTAAAAGCTAATTGAGATACTTTAAGAGCTACTGTAAATGAAACAGGTTAAAAAAGAGACCTTTTGAATTTTTTTAAGGAAAAGTTTTTATTTGGTTAAGATGATAGGGACAAAGTCAAAGAGATTCGACACATCTGTTATTTTTCTGAAACTATTCTCATCATCTAACTAACAGCAATATTCTATGATATTATTTAGTATATGTTGGACTTTTTGTACCAATCCATATCTTATCAGCAGTATTTTTAATTTTTTTCAGTTAAAGATGAATAAAGCCATTTTTCTGTCTCTGAAATTGCATTCCAAGATCTTTGTTCAGCCCTTATAGTGGTGCTGAATAGCTTTTACAAATATCATTAGGGTCGCTCTGTAATTACTGTTCAGCCTTGACATACACAACATGGAAAAAAAGATGAGTTATGCTTAGGCTGGAAAGAACTGTACGGCAGCAGCTACCTGAGCGCCTGGGACCTCAAACCACACCTAGCAACAAACACATTTGCACTGAAGACAAAATAAAGACATGTCAACCCATTTTCATGAACCAAACATTGGAAACATATTCTATTCAGTGGAAATAGTAAATCATTCAAGCATAAAGTCAACTTCACTTGTACCTTAGAAATCCCCTGTAAGATTTTTATCAGGCATCTTTTCCAAACCCTCTCACTAACTGGCATGTGTAAAAGCTATTATTTCTAATCTCATTTGACTGACCTGCTGGGTTCTTTGCAACATTTTAATCTCTCACCTTTATGCATAATACAAACAACTCAAAGAAACTGTGTTAGAGGCGACAGTGGTGCGCTGTTCGTGAAAATACTCCTTAACAGAGGAACCGTGGGGGGTCTCGCTCCGCTCAGAGACTCTTCGCTGTGTTTCTTTCTCCAGATATAAATAGGGGTGGATGCAGTAGTCTCCTCTTAATTCAAGTGAGATAGAAACTAATATCACAAATCCTGGGATGGATGCTACTCTCATGAACACCAGTGACATTACAGAGTCATTCTTGATTCAACTACAAAATAGCTCCAATTTAAAGGACATATAAAACCTGAGACAACCTAACATCGTTGAATATTTTGTGGTTCTTTGATCAAAATTGGAGGTTAGAAAATCCGGTAGGTCAGTGGAAAACTGCTACACTATGAATTGGATTTGCTGGCCACCAATACTGTGCAGTGATGATTTGACAGTTATAGTAATAAATAACGCACAAAAAGGAAATACAAATTTCTAGCCTAATGCAAAATATTAGCACTTTGATCTTGGGCATGCCGTTTTTGAGAGAGCAATACTAGAATGTGTGTGACAAAACAAGCAATTGGTTGCCATGGCCAAACTGTATTACCTGAGGTCCTGGTCCAAATATCTGGTAATTCATTTCTGTGGAACTGGCACTCATTGGAACTCACATATTTCCTACTGTGGCCTTCCTAATATGCATGATGAAACAAACAAAATAAATGATGGTATGTGGTTTTCTAAGCTGAGGCCACACAAGACCAGCAACTTTTTTTTTGCATTTGTTTCCTTTTCGGTTATTTCCACACGGCTTTCACAGAAACAGAGGCTGAGACAGGCTATAGCTCAGAGGCAGATGTCTGACGTGGGGCACACTGCAGGCAGGGTGACTCATGTGCTCTGGATGACTTGCTGTGGAGACAACCAGCCATTACGCAATTACTTCACCATCATCATCATCATCACCATCATCATCACCGTTGTTGCCATCAGAAGCTTTGAGGACTTGTAAACAGTCTTCCTAGTCAAATAGATTGATATTGTCCTCGGGCCAGATATACAGCGGCCAGTCAGAAGAATTCATATTGCGTGAGAAGATGAAATTCTTGAAAATCTATAACCTCCCTCGGGCTAGTTGTTTATTGCAATAAACAAAAGGGTATATACTGCAAAAATGTTGGAGGGTTTTGAAACTAGCATGTGGAAAATAGCAACTGAAAGCTTAATGGTTGCCATTGCGATGCTTGTGATGGTGATGATGATGATGACTGACTCAGCGAAAGCAGTAACAGACCCTTGGTGGCATAACAGAAACATGATACAACATATTTCCCTGCTGAGCATGCACTTAGCACAACTGCCTCTCGCAGACAGAATTGAGGCCGCATGTGGCTACACCGCGGTCAAGCTTCGATTTGTGTAGCTGCTGAATCTTCCGTATGAGTCATGAAGACTCATCTCCCTCATGCAAGAGTCTAGGTCTGTGTTTGTGTGGTGTTTCAGCAGCAGACACAGAAACCCAATGCTTTTGGGTGTGTTTGATGAACATGTCTGTTAACTCTACTCTGTCAATGTGCTGCTATTCTCTTTAAAAAGAGGATTTAATCTCAGTGAGATCATCTGTTTAAATAAAGGTTAATAAATAAAAAATATAAATGAATGTGAAATTTCCCTAGTGCATTTCTCTTATATCTATTTTGTCTGGAAGGCAAACAACTTTTTATTGTCTAAATTCTCTAAATATTGAGCATTAGCAGTTATATTATAATATTGTTGACACCACTAACTCACTGTAAGGTTAAAGCAGAGCAACGTAAACCATACAACCATACGGACATAATGTGGCCTCCTATAAATCCTCCTTTGCCTTAATGGTTTGAATAAGCAGCCAGTGAGCAGCAGCTGTGTAGGTGGCATCTGTTCCCTCCCCCACTGCCACCTGCCTACCCCTCTATACACTCTCTGAGGAAAGAGCACCTCAATAATACAATGATGGTCCAATAGAGACTTGGGCAATTATAGGTTTATGGTGTTTTCATATTTATTTAGAGACCTATAGTGCATTTTGCGCAGGAGCTGTAGATGAGATCAGTTAATGGTGAGCTTAAATGGTCAGTTCACCCAAATTAGAAACGGCTTATTTTCTCATTAACCCACAGTGGTCTCCAGACGATAGTTTTGGTTAAATTTTTTCTGTGTTTTGAGGTATCTGAGCTTTCTGCCTTTTAAAGCACGAGGCATTACAGATCCTATAAAAACAAAAACAAAAATGACATAATCCTACTGACAGCATTGCCTGTGTAGCCAAACCCTGATATAACTTATTCCTCTGTGCAGTGCCCAGTTGTTTTAACAAATTATTTATCCTTTTAAAAAATTACACTATATATTTGTGTTCTGTTGGAGGATTTACATCCTCAGTAGGAACCAATGGACTTGGGGCTTAGGGCCAAAGACAGGTCCGGGAAGTAGAGAGATAGATTAACACACTATTGGTTTTGTTCATTTCATGAGATTTTTTCACAATGTAGTAAATAAAGTAATAATTCTTAATACAAAACTATCTCCAGACTTATCACCATCAAAACAGTGTTTTTCCAGAAACAATTTGGTTAAATAAATAATCCATAGTGAACACTTTCATGGGATTAATTCATGTGTGCTGTATGCAATTTCTACCTTTTATCTCTATTAATTTTTTTGGGTTGGTAAATTACAATCTTGCTGCATGTATAAAGTGTGTACTGTAGATGTAGTAAAAAAATTATCAAGCACTTTCTAGGAATGCAATGGTCCTAATATGGGTGAAACATTTGTGCTTGTTGCTTTTATTTTTAATTAGAGGGAGAGGGATATGACATGCTGCCAGGAACGCTGCAGTTATATGGCATGAGCCTCACTAACAATAGACCTCTGGGATGTCCCTTGAATTTTTAAAAATGTAATCTTTCAATAGGCCTACTGTGAGCACCACAGATTAAATTCCATTTACCTCCGTTGTACTGGGATGGAGTCGGTAATCTGAAACTGATGTATAAAAACCTGGGCAAATTAAACCAATACTATATGCTTGGCTGTAGGCTATAATATTTAGGGTAAGTGAGAAATATGTAAAAATAAGTCTGACCCTTTAAATGTGTTTTTATGATGTTTATTCCTATGAAATTGTAGTAAAGGTCGTTTTCCTGTTTGTATAGTAATATAGACCTAGCTCTTCTTATTAAGAGACTCTGGCTTCCTCCCCCTTCACCCCTCACCCCACCATTAGTGACAGAGAGAGACAGACAGAGAGAGAGAGTCTGACTCCCACCGGTCATATCGGGAGCTTGAGAGAGAAGCAAAAGAGAAAGAGAAGCTGTCACAGACAGTCTACAACTTCCTCACATGTAACCGCCAGCGGAGGAAGAAATAATAATTACACGGATTTACAAATGCCATTAATCCTGTGACTGGGATGGAAATATATGAGCCGGCAACGAGAAGTTGTTTGATCCGAGTGGTAGTGTGAGCACAGCAAGAAGAAACTCATGGTAGGTTTTATTTCACTCAGCATTATATTTTTTCCTCGCCGTTCAGCTGTGTGCACTTTGATTTCTGGCAGTGCATCCCCCTTTTCATTGTCTCTATCGCGACCGTGTCGTTGGAGTTCATGCAGTCGGTTTTCAGGCTGTCTCTCTGAAGCGAGCGGCTGCAGAAATGGAAAAGTTTTTTTTGGGTGATTTGACTGTGTGTGCCCTGTATAAAACCGGAGACATCGCCAATATAACGGGCTCCTTTCAGCGGAGAGGCGCCCGCTGCCCGTATAGAATGAATGGGTCACTATGTATTCTAATCTAACTCAAGAGTTGACTCAGTTTTCTTCGGTTTAAAAAGGTAGACAGAGCTGCTGCTTGCAGAGTTAACAGCATGTGGACTCGCATGTCGTGGAAGAGTATCGGGGGAGATTAGCTGTAATCAATCGGGAATATCTAATGACGTCGCCATCAGTTCTATGAGCGATTGTTTTTATTCTAAACTATCAGAATGAGAGATTTTGTCACATTTTCTTCGCGGCTGTGCAGGAATATTTGGCATCCATTCATGAGATGCGTTGTTAGGCTCTTCAACAGTGAGAACCAAAACAAAAGGATCTCCTGCTGACCAATGAGAGCGGGGGAAGCCTCAGGAGGCACGGAGTGGTCCTCTCTTCTCTTTGTCCTAGGCTACCTGAGACTCACAGATAGACCACAGACTGCTGCAAGGCAAATATGGGACTGACTGGATGATGTCGGACCGATGGATCACCATGAGAGACATGTTCTGCTTTGCTTGATTAAAAAAAGATATTCTGCCTCTTTGCGCACACACACAGAAGCATGTCATTCATAACATTAGATGTCATGAAGAGTAGCATGTTCAGGATCTGAGGTGCAATCAAAGTAGCTGTTCACACAACATCATCCTTAATTGACTCCTAAACTTATAACAGTTAACTCATTCTCTTTTCACAGCTAAATGCATCTCAAAACATAAACATCTATGCTGCCGCTTTAGGGCTGATAAGTTTTGGTTAATGGTTAAAGAGGTGGTATTATGCTTATTTTCAGGTTCAAACTCTTATTTAGAGGTTGCACTAGAACATGATTACATGGTTTAATTTTCAAAAAATTCCATATTTTTCTCATACTGCACATTGCTGCAGCTCCTCTTTTCACTCTATGTGTTGTACGCTCCTCCCTTGAGCTACAGAGTGATGCATCTTACTTGTACAAAATCTTTGTTGGGAGTTGCACATGCGCAGTTCCCAGGTAAGGACTACTAGCCAATCAGAAGCAGAGAAGGGCGGGTCATAAGAAACAAGGTAGTGTGATCCAAAACAAAGCCGCTTCAGACTGAGACCATAATCTAGCAGATGGTAAACGTTTCTCACAAGTCCACAACCACACATCATTGTTCCACATCTTACCATAAACCACTACAAAAATCATCATATTTCAACAAAATTTTACATAAAGATTGGCCAAACAATTTGAACGTTTGCTCAGTAGCTTTCACATCAGGTGTAACATTAGCATTATAGCTATAACTTTAGCTGTGTTAGCCAACGTTTACAACAACTCCACACTTAAACAGTCTGTGAAGTTACATTGCCGTGTTTATTTTAAACATAATAATAAAAATGCTACTATATAGTGCAAATCGATAGACTCGATTGTGAATTTCCAGGCCCAAACAGAGTCGGAGTTGCATCGTCTTTAAGACTAAACGTTGAACTGTGTTCTGACGATCTATGTTGCCTTGCCGAAAAATGCTACTATATAGTGCAAATCGATAGACTCGACTCTACTCGGCCCTGCTCCGTTTTCCATTGCAGATAGTACCCAGAGATAGTACGTAGCTTGTCGTCATAGCGACACCACACACAATTGCCGCAACTTAATGTTCAATGCGACACACACACCAGCGATCCACACAGCTTTCTCTTTTTTAAGTTAAAACGTTTCAACATTCCTCAGAATGTAAAGACAGATAAGCGGTATGAAAACCCATTAATGAAATTCCATACGAAAACTGTAAAATATAAAACTTTCTGTTGCTGGCCTCTGTCTGGTGCACGCAATGATGATGCAGTGAATAGTGACGATTCTCTCTGACCAGTCAGCAGTCTGTCGTGTTTTCACGTTACATTTTAGTATCTCTCAGCTCGCTTGGAACCTCAATGGAGGTGAGGTGATACGAAAAAAAGTACCTGGAAGCAGGTACAGGTACAACATTTCTACAATGGAAAACCAAACAAAGGCGAGTCGAGTCCGCTCAGACTAGCTTGGTTTGAGGGCGTGCCTGACCCCGCTAGCTGCTTGGCAAGCTTTATGACGCGTTTTCATTGTGACGTCACAATGAAAGGAAGTGAAGGGCTGAACTACAAATGAGTTGTTTTCAGGCAGTTCAGAGCAGAGCTTTCTGTGGGAGATGGGAACTTCCTTTGGGCTGGACTTTGGGCTTTTTCACTTTGCAAACCTGTTACATGCACAAAAAAGAGATATAATTCAATAAATGAGAGGGGAAAAGCCAAAAAGCATAATGCCACCTCTTTAAGACATATCCTCCGGGCATATCACATACCCTCCTCCGTCTTCCCCTCATTACTTTTAAGTTGAATAGGTTAATGTGCAGAGTAACAAAAAGGGTTTTTGATTAAAATGCAATTTGTCAAATGACAAATCAACAATTTTAATGTCTGAGTCATTTATCAATCAAAAAATGGCAAGTATTCTCTGGTTCCAGCTTCTTAAATGCGAGGATTTACCGCTTTTCTCTGATTTGTACTGACTATTAGAGGAGTTTTGACTGTTAACTGGACAAAACAAGCAATTTGAAGATGTCATTTTGGGCTGTGAGGAACATTTGATGAGCATTTTCACAGTTTTTTGTTGACATTTTATAGAATAAACAAATAATCAATTAATCAGATAATAACAGGCAAAAAAAATTACTGTGATGCATAATGTTTACATGGCATGGCTAGACATGCACGCTCAGTGTGTAGCTTACAAGTTGACACAGCATCTGTGTGGGAAGTGGAGACGTAGGCGTCGTAAATGTGGTGGGGATTCTCTTTCTCTCTGCAATTTACTATTATACAGCAAGTGGGATGGATGATTAGAATGATTTAAATGCCACGACAGGGTGTAGTGTGCCCGGCCTCTAGCAGGCACTCTGTTTTGTTTGAGGTCATTTCATCTCTCCCACCACAGATTTCTGTGAAGCAACTGAAGCACTTTGATGAATTACTCTGTCCGAAATAAGTTTACTTATAATATTTCTATCTGATCATTCTTGATTTAGAGGCAGCAGTTAACTTTGGTCTTTGTAGTGGGTTGATGAAGTATTTAAAAGAACTTAAAGTTCATGAACGATGAATCACACTGCCACATGTTGTCAAATGTGCATGTGAAGCAGGGCTTTTGTGGAAAGACCGACAGATGAATGAACAATATTTATATCATAACTCTTCCATCAATTATGAAAAAACAAGACGTTGATGAATATTTCACCAGACTTTGATTACATGTAAATGTGATCACAGTAGGAAGTGCAGCCTTTAGGCTGAAGTTTCCATCATTGATTTTCATTAGAGATTCCAGTGAAAATACTTCATTGAGGAATAGACCTGCTGTAAATTCTGAATTGTTGCAACACAGACAAAGAGGGAATGCCTTTGTTATTGAAATCTTTGTTGGAGATTTCTCTAGGGAAGATAAGCAATTTAAATGGCGGAAGGAATCTCGGGGAACTCAATTTAAATGGCCCTTATTAAGGCCACTTCATCAAGAAAACTGGGGAGAAATTGGCATCCAACATGCACTGCACTGTTGCCCTTTTCAGATTCATGGATTTAAGGTAAACAAACACTGAGAGTGATGAAACATATCCTCATGTTTGGACTAATATAGAACCACAGACTGGATTAGAATGAGTCAGAAGATGAAGCAAGTTTTTCTTGTTTTAGTTTGTGTGTGTGTGTGTGTGTGTGTGTTTGAATGTCGGGAGGGTTGGGAATTGGCAGGCATTATTTGACCATCATGTTGTTACAAGATTGTCTTTGTGTAATTTGCACATTGAATTTTGTGCATCGGAGCAGCTTTTACAGTATTAGCTGAAAAACTTCGGGGTCCAGATGAAGACTTTCATGTGAATTGTTCTGCCATCCTACATTTAATGTCACACAGATTCAACATGCTGGTGCTCTTTTATTTACACACAGTTTTAATTTAATCATAGCAAATGGAATTTGATTCATGTTTTGCCCCAGCTGTGTAATGATTCACCACAATTACCTTGAAATCTCATCCATCCAACAGTGTGTTGCATGGCCTAGCTTGCTGCCAACTTCCTTTTGCTCCACTTTGTCTTTTGTGAGAACACAGGCTTGTCTAGGACATTTTGAACCAGGCGGGGCAACTGACTGTCCCAGAGCCTGAGTGTCTCATCCCAAAAACCACTAACCAGTCCTTTAGATGGCCTGCATTCCTTCGTGTTCCCAGTGACTCACACATTCTGGCCCTGCTCTGATAACTCTGACACCTCCCCCTCCACCTCTTCTTTGGGATACATTTCCTTTTTCAGCCTTAGAGCCTGAAGCAGCACTCTGTGTTTGTCAAATGAAGCATTTAACCTCTCTTTTAGGGGTCCTTTATTTCAGTCACTCCTGCAGGAAGCGTAGTGTCAAGTGTGCATCAGGGTCCGCTGTGCTGCTGGGGCAGAGGGCACGCAGACTGTCACATGGACACTCAACCCATATGTATGCAGGCAACATTAACACAAAACAGGGTCACATTCATAAACTGTACTTGGCATTTAGCCATTCTGTAATGTAGCCTTGCTGTTAGAGTTTGGGCATGTTTTGAAATATGACCTCACAGGATCAGATAGTCACCATAGTCCTTCTGTGCGTAGAGATTATTGGTTAGTGCACAATGATTAAATGAAATCAAATAAAAATATTTTTGATAAACAATTAAGTGTTATAAGTCATTTATCGACAAAAATG